CTGTTTCTGGACTGTAAGATTAACTACTCCCCCATTTTTGTTACAAAACTTCTACCTTTACAATTGTGACAGTTGCAATTAGTCATGATAACATATACTCACTATTGAATCATAATCTTATCCCCATCTCCTTTCACCAAAACCCTCTAGACAAGATGAAAACTATTCAGTACACTCCACCTCTTTAAGATGACATTTTTTTTTTAGGACAACGGTGGCTCAGTGGTAGTAGTCTCACCTTCCATGTGGGAGACCCAGGTTTGATTCCAGGCCAGTACACATCATGTACGACTATTAAGTCTGCCAGTGGACACTTGCATGTTGCTATGAGGAAGACCCCCAATGAGATGGATTGGCCAGGTGGTAGCATCGATGAACTCAAGTGTGGCAACAGTAGTGAGGTTGGCCCAGGACCGGACATTGTTTTGTAAAGCTGTACATAGGGTCACTATAAATCAGTGCCAACTTGATGGCACTTAACAACAACAACAACAGTGGTGCTAAACAGGTTTCAGTGGCGCTTCCAGACTAAGAAGGATTATTAAAATAGACCCGGTGATCTACTTCTGAAATGCAGCCAATGAAAACCCTAGAGATCCCAATGGTCAGAGCTACATCAGATCATGGTGGTGTGGGTCCAGGAGGCATTTCCTTCCATTGTGCACGGGGTAGCCATGAGTCAGAGGCCAACTCCATGGCAGCTAACAAGACGGTACTCTCTGTTTTCTTAAGAAAGTACCACTTTCCCCAAAAAGAAAACACAAAAACTCACATATCTATGTTCTGTCTGCCCTCCTAGAGGAAATCTATGGAAAGTGCTTGCTTAGAATGGTACCTTTCATTTGAAGAAAGTCAGCAACCATTACTACTTTTCTAATAATAATGCTGAGCCTAATTTTTCCATTGTGTTCTATTGGTAAAGGTAGGCAAGATGTAAGAGATTGAAAGCTTGGTTTTTAGTTATATGTTGTAGTTTGAGCTTTGCTGCCTCTCAGACTGTGAACAGGGTGACCTCGCTCTGCTCTCACCGATGTGCTAATAGGTCATTCTCTGTGCCGGGCATTACACTAAGGATTGAGGATGCCACAGGGGAAAACAGCCCCTGCACCCTGGCACTTCCAGTCGATGGCTAGACAGCTGAAATAGAGGATCAGATGAGATAACAAGTAGACTGTTGTTATTTGTATTCGTTCTATGGAAATCACTTCAGAAATATCATAATTGTTTTTGGTATTAGGTGCCATCGAGTTGTCTCTGATTCATAGTGACCCGGTCCTGAGGCAGACTCACAATTGTGCTGCCACTGTGCCAATCCGTCTTGTTGTTAAGTGCCGTCGTGTCAGTTTTGACCCATAGCGACCCTGTATAGGGTTTCCAAGTAGCTGCTGGTGAGCTTGAACTGCCGACATTGTGGTTCAAACCGACTTTGCAGTCCAGCACATTAACCCACAGCACCATACCAGGACTCTGTAAATCATATGATTATCAGGTGCAAAATGGCCAATACCAGTTAATTTTAGCTTACTAATGTCTAGGATATCAAAATTCCATTTAGTGTGTCCCATCTTCCAGTTTTCCTAGATTCATACTTCATACATTCCATGCTGTTTATGAGTGGATGTTGACAGCTGTCTCTCCTCATTTTGTACTGTGCTCCATCAGCAAATGAAGGTCCCGAAAGCTCTACTTCATTTGCATCATCAGGGTCCACCCTACTTTGAGGAGACACCTCTTCCCTCGTCATATCTTACGTGTTTTCCAATCTTAGGGGCTCCTCTTCGGGCACTATATTTGACAATGTTCCACTGCTATTTATAATGTTTTCATCTCCTGGTACTGTATCTGACAATGTTCCGTTGGTATTCCTAAGTTTTTCAGTGGCTAACCATTCCGAAGCAGTCCGCCTCTCCTTCCTAGTCTGTCTTAGTCCGGAAGCTCAGCTTATACCTGTCCACCATGAGTGACCCAGCATCACAGCAACATTCAAGCTGGTGCAATACAACAAACAAACAGACAAACAGTGGAGGAAATACCATGTAAAACATAGAATAAAAGGAGTGTGTTTTGGAAAGAGTTATTTTATTACTATTATTTTTAACGGCTGCATTGTGACATCTCTGGAAGGAGAGAAAGGGCTCTTGATCCCCTTTTTCCAGATGTCAAAACTGAAGGTCTAGGGGATGAGATGACCCTGTCAGGAGCACACAGCCTGCATCTAACAAAGCCACTGTCCACCCTCCTCCCATCCTGGATCTTTATAATCCAGGAATCGGTCCACAAATTTGTGCTATGGGAAAAGTAATAACATTTGTTGCCCTGGTCATCAATGTGGGAGATGTGGTAACATTCTTATAATGGTAAATAAAAGATAAGATTAAAAAGAGTTTGTTGTTGTGCAGCAAGTCTGAGCTGAATAGAAAATTGGGTTGCCTGACTTGTCTTGATACAGTGCCTGAAAAACCTGGTTATGATTTTATTTTGCATTTACGTTTTGTCTTTTCCCTTAGTCCCTGTTCTGGGAAAATAACCACCTTCTTGTGACCAGCTATTCAGAGAATGCCCGCCGCTTCATGCCTCTGTGTGATGTTCTGTATGGCCGGGTAGGAGATTTCATGAGCTGGTGTCGGCAGAAAAACGCCTCTGGTAAGATTCCTGCACAGATAGCAAGAAAAACAAGTTGTTAAGTGCTATCGAGTGGGTTCCTACTCATAGCAACTCTGTATAGGGTTTCTGAGGAGCGGCTGGTATGTTTGACCACCAACCTTTTAGTTAGCAGTCCAGTGCTTATCTTTTAGTGCCATGCATTTATCACGTGTATATTCATTTACATAAATTTTTAAAAATGTTAGATGTATTTATTAACTTTTTCTTATGATTTGGTAAAAGTTTTTAGAGCAAATTGATTTTCCATTCAACAATTTGTGCAGATTTTGTTTTGTCTACGTTGATTGTAGTTGTTAAGTGCTGTTGAGTCAGTTCTGACTCATAGTGACCCTGCATAGGGTTTCTGAGGAGCAGCTGGTGAACTTGAACTGCCAACTTCGTGGTTCAAACTGACTTTGCAGTCCAGTGCATTAACCCACAGCCTCACACTGTGATCCCCACAGTGTGACAGACCTCTTCCCACTCTCTCCCATGTTTCCCATTTCTGTCTGTCCTTCTTTCCTGTTCTTTTACCTTCTGAGCTTTATCCCAGGGAAAATGCTGTCCTTGTCATCTAAAGACTATAGGCCTGTCTATTGTGTGGTTGAAAGATGAGCCAAGGGGATGAATTGGACTGCAGGTTTGAATGGTGTCTTAAGGGCCAGAGGCTCGGGGCCTCTACCAATCCCTCTCCAATCGGCAAGCTTGGCCTTTTAATATATATATATATATATATACAAATAATCCATTTATATCCATTTATCTCAGTTATTTCCTTCTAAACCCTCTGGGGTAGATGTTTGTTGTTAGGTTTTGTCAAGTTGTTCCGACTCAGCTATTCCATGTACAATACAACAAAACACTGCCTGGTCCTGCACCAACCTCACAGTTGTTACTGTTTGGGTACATTGTTGCTGCCACCCACGGTGTCAGTAGTAGTAATAATAGCAACAATAAGTAATAATAATGCATAGCACCTGATTTATGCTAGATACTTTTCTAATCACTTTATATATAAACTCACTCAATCCCTGCAGCAGCCCATGTGATTGCTGTTAAGTGCTGTTGAGTTTGCTCTGACTCAAGGCAACCCTGCATGGGGTGTTCTGAGGTGGATTTGAACTACTGACCTTGCAGCTCACGCCGACCTTGCATTCCAGTGCATTATCCTTTAGTGCCAATGCTATTCTAATCCTTATATTTGCAGATGAGGAAACTGAGGCACAGAAAGGTTAACAAACTTGCTCAGAGGTACACAGCTAATACACAGCAGAGTCAGGTGGTCTGTCAATTCTGCACAACTTTGTCTCACCCTTCCCATTTTCCAGAGGGGAAAGCTGAGGCTTAGGGAAGGTAAGTAACCAGCAGTTGTAGGGTTAGGATTCCTCTTTTGTATTCAGGTTTTAGGGCGATTCTGAAGCCAGTATTCTTTAACCTCAAATCAGACTGTCAGCCAATAATTCCAAGATGAACATCACAATAAAAGTTAACATCACGAGACCTGCCCTGCCAGCACAGACTCACTCTCCCCATTCATCCAGCACAGTCCTAGGTGCTGGCCAAACGGTGGCCTAGTCCTCAGGGAACGTGTAGTCTGCTAGGAGGAGGATTGACTGGCATGGCGCATGCGCGAATGGAAGAAGAATGGCGATGTTGAGGAGAGTTGATTCCCAGGCACCTGGGAGGCTTATTGGGCTCAGGCTGAGCCTGTGGGGAGGAGCCGGGGGAAGTCCCATAAGGAAAGAAGTAGGGGAGATGTTCTTGCCTCTCTGGGTAGCGTGGTTACTTCAAGGGTTAACTTAATCTCCTTCCTGTTGCTTTTTCCTTCCCTTAACTATCCATCCAACGGAGACAATTTGTAGAGTACCTGCTATGGACCAGGCCTTCTTCTAGATGCTGGGAACACAAGCGAAACAAAAAGGGGAATACTACTTCATCCTTACAACATAGAGAGTGTATAGAAAAGATTAACAGACAAGTAAAGCACATATCATTTCCTAAGATTTATAGGTGCTACAGAGAAAAGAATTCATTCCAATTCGTAGTGACCTTGTATAGGGCTTCCAAGGAGCAGCTGGTGGGTTTGAAACACCACCCTTGTGGTTAGTAGTTCAGTGCTTATCGTACAGTGGCACACCAGGACTCCAACAACAGAGAAAGATAAAACAGAGAAAGAAGATAGGAAGTGTTTGCTTTTGAGAGAAACAGAGCTGTTGAAATCTCACATGTATGCCCAAGGAAGGCCTCCCAACAAAGCTGGTGTTGAAGCCAACCCCAGAAGAGGATGAAGAAGGCCATTTCCTGACAAAGGCCATGTGGTAGGAGCAGGTCTGGATGACTTACAGAATCTTAGCCTCGTAGTTCCCCAGTGCTGTTGTCACAGAAATACCACAAGGGGATGGGATGGCTTTACCAAACAGAAATTAGTTTTCTTACAGTTTAGGAGGCTCCAAGTCTGAACTTAGGGTCCTGGCTCTTAGGGAAGGCTTTCTCTCTGTGTCATCACTTGACGATGGTCCTTGTCTCTTCAACTGTTTCTTGGGGCCTTGCAGATCTTGCGGTGCCACGTCTCTCTTCGTAATCTGCTCCTGGCAGCCGCTCCTTGGGAAAGGACGTGGCAGTCTGCTCTCAAAACGATGACAGCCTGTCCCGTGGTGCCACTGGGAATCGGAACCAACTTGAGGATTCCAATAGGCAATGAGTTTGTTATTTGGTGGTACTCACAATAATCCTAGAGACCTGGTATGGCACTGTAAGATAAGCACTGGGCTACTACCTGTAAGGTTGGCAGTTCAAATCCACCACTGCTCCTCACAAGCCCTATACAAGGTTGCTATGAGCTAGAACTGACTCAAGAGCACTTACCAATAGCACATTAATCATTAGGAAGTGTGGTGGCTCTGTAGGGTAAGCACTGGACTGCTAACCACAGATCGATGGTTTGAGACCTCCAGCTGCTCCACAGGAGAATAATGAGACTTTCTACTTCCACAAAGATTTACAGTCTCAGAAACCCTACACAGGGTACCTATGAATCAGACTGACTGGCTGGCACTTAACTACAATGATCACAGTGGAGTCCTGGAGTCCTGGTGTGGCGCTGCA